GTCCACCAGCCACACGATATCCAGTGTGGTACTGCAAGACTCAAATCAAATGCAATGGAAGTTGTAGATTATATCTATCATCTTGAAGAAAGCTTAAAGGAAGCACAAAGCCTGGCAAGAAGTCATCTTCGCACTGCACAAGAACGACAGAAAAAGGTGTATGACCTTCGAGCAAACGAGCACACTTACAGTATCGGAGATCTAGTGTTCATCAAAGACGACACAAAAAAGAAGGGACTTAGCCCAAAGCTTCAAGCGTTATGGAGGGGTCCCCTGATTGTGGCAGCACACCGTGGTCCTTTACTGTATGAGATCCAAGGTCCCAAGCACAGGACAATAATGCATCATGACAGACTTAAGCCCTATGACAGCGAGGTGATACCAGTTTGGGTTTCACGTCAAAGGAGTAAAATACTGCAACAGTGCCAGGATCAAGACCATCTAAATGCGGAGGATGTTCCTTTGGCGGCAGTGCTACCACTGCCAGACGATCCGGACAAGGCATCGCAGGATGAAGGTTCAGGTCAGACTGTTCAACCCAAGGGTCCAGCGTACCACCAGGAAGGCAGACGAGGTGATGAACAATCTTCGGAAAAGACTTTTAAAACATCGAGTGGTCGCATAGTCAATCGACCAGAGAGATTCAGACACTAGTAGAAGTTATACTGAGCTAAATGTTATGGTTAAAACTTAAATGTTAAAACTAAAAGTAACCAGGGGATTGGTTAGTTTTATCGCCCCATGGTATTTGTTTTTTCGTAATTTTGGACTTATTTCTGTTTACCAGAGTTGTTTCTTTACCTTAAAGATACTGAAGGGACTCAGTAGTCTTGAAAAGGGGGGGTAGTGTAAGGCAATTTAGGCTGTTATGATTATAAAAGACTGTTATTCTGTTTCGTTTTGATTTCTCCGAGCCTAGTGTTAAGTCAGTAAATGCAACACGGTCGTCTAGTTAACCTTATCATCGCGAGAGTTTTCGTTGTTATGATTCTGGTTGTAAGGCACTCAAGGCTCACTGTACGGACACTGCTAAAACGCTGTCTGTGCCAGAGCTAGAGGCCAAAACAACGCAGTGTATAAACCATCAGCTGTGTCTGTAACTCACCTATTGCTGGAGAAAGTAAAGTTCAGTTCAAGAAGATTCCTTGTCGTGTGCTTCATCAGAACATCCACGCCACCCGAAGGTAAAGCACGACAATATTTATGCTTGATGTGAATACGACAGCTTTTTTTTATTAACTTTTATTTTTTTTTCCCCAACATGACAATGTTCCAATTGTCCGCTCTTAAGTTTAAGAATCACTGTCAGTGGAGTCGGTGTTAGGTTTGGGTATATAATAGGGATGGAATGGTTTATGAAAACCGTGTGAACCGTTCGGTTCGACTGCCTCGGTTCGGTTCGCGTTTGTTTCGTTCGGTTCATGCGCTGCTCCATTTTCTCATAGGCGAAGCGTTTACACTCCAGAGCAGAAGGTGGCGGTACTGCAACCAAAGCCAACTACCAGTAGTATACAAGAAGAAGCGAAGCAGTTTAGCCGGGTGTAGCAGAAAAAAATCAGTAGTTGTGGAGAATTGTGTGGGTATGGGGAGTGGGAAAGAACAGGAGTTGAAAGACGCGTCAGCAGCACTTTATAGGTTTGCTGTATGGGACCACTTTGCATTTGGAGTGACCTACGATGACGGCGGAAAGAAAGTTGTGGATAAAAGTGCAACAGTGTGCAAGCATTGTGTAACACGTTTTGTTTATGCTAACAGCAACATGACCAACATGTCAGGCTAACCCAGAAATCCCACATATTCCGTCAGCAACCCCCGCTCCGCCCCGCTGCGCTCCAGACCGCCTGGGCAAAGCAAAGCATACAGCCTCCGCTGTGGCTCCCGTCCGCTCTGCTCTGAGTTCCTTGGAGATCGTAGAGGGCATGCGCGAGATGATTAAATTCAAAGCAGCAAAACATGCCGTAAGGATCCATGGTTTCTGCGGATCATTAAAAATAATTACAATTCATTAATTTTTTGGGATTTTTTCATTCATTTCATTAATTATTATTGGATTTCAGGGTAACAATCAACATATACCGAACCGAAAACCGTGACCAGAAACCGTGAACCGAACCGAACCTTGGATTTTGTGAACCGTTCCACCCCTAGTATATAACTCATGCAGCCCTTTAAAAGTTTTCATCGGGATGCACATCTCTTGGCCTGCACACCAAATATTGCACCAATGCATCCCTCTGTGATGCCAGACTCTGATGACAGAAGACTGTGACCCTCAGCTGAATTTATGTCATAGAAATAGCAGTTGACATAAAATAGCCATGTTGATATAAAGATAACTACCTCATCTATAAGGTAGAGAGTTTTATAGGAAACTGTAGTTGTGAATTCAATTTTAAATGACAAAAGGACATTTTCTACAGTGTTGGCTTTGGGGTAATGCCTTTATGTAAATGACATCACCATAATCCAGTGTATATATAAAGCATGATAAAGCTAGCCTCCTTTTTTGTCTCATAAAAACATTATTATTATTTCTAAAATACAAACTATCTTGGTTTAAACTCTTTAACCAGCATCTAAGGAAATGGAGATAAAAGAGAATCACTTAGTAAAACCTCAATTTATTTTCTTTGTGAGATGCTCAGCCTTTGAACCCTTAAAAGGGATGTTTGATAACATGTCAAATGATACAAACCTTACTTTTTATGATAAAAATACATTATGTTTATGATAAATTGAATTTACAAATTTAAAGGTTTGCTACGGCAGAGTGAGTGCCAGGTTGTCTTTGGGTGCTGAAGGGTACATTACTGTATCATCAGCATAAAGATGAAAATACACAATGGTGAGATTAGTGTAAATATTGTTGATGTAGAGCAGGGATTACCAACCGTGGTACACGCACACGTTTTGGTCCGAGAGTGCATTGCAAGAGGTACATGAAAAAATTAAATTTCTTAGGTAGTAAATTAAAGTAGGGCTGGGATCTGTTTTGCTTTCTGAGGGCCCAACTAAAGAATAAAACAAACTTTTTTCGACCAAAAAGTTATATTTTTTCATCTTTAGCTTTGACACACATCAAAACCAAGCAGAGGAACAGACTGGATAAAGAAAAGCCAGGTATCAGTTGTTTTTTCACACTGAGCTATCGGAGTTCATCAAAGCAAGTTTAGAAGTGATGAATGTTGGATTCAACGTGAAATAAATGGAGTCCGTCTGACTATAATTTTTTATCAGTATTTTGAATATGAAAGAATTCACTCATTTGATTAATTTTTTCTCAAGGAGGCGTGCATGTTTACAATTGCAGGATAGTAACCCTTCAGGGCGCAACATAGGCACCCACAAGTATGGCAGCTGTTTAGGCTATAAGTCATCAACTGCATTACTCTTTATGGTATGCTCACTGTGTTGAGTTACCTTTAAAGGTCCCCAACCATTTAAAGTGGAGGTCTTCAACAGGGAGTCCCTGTTGTTGGTTGATTTAACTTTTTTTTTATATATTCCCCCCTGCAACTTTTTCCACTAATTGAAATGTCTTTAAATACACATTAATATTAATTCAACACACTGTAGTAAACAGATAAATGGAGGCGAGGCAAAAGATGTCTTTCAGTCATCAATATTCGGCAACACGCAGGAGGTTTTTCAAGCTGGGCAACGTTTCATTCAGAACACCTCTCCCATCAACGAGAAATCAGACTCAGAAATACTTTAATGATCCCAGGGCGAAATAACTTCCATTACGTTACTCCATTTGTCATAGAGTGAATGTAGGACCAGTTTGATATACGGTAACACAATTTCATACAATATATATAAAATTAGGGGGTTCCTGATCCATCTCGCCATCAGTTTGGGAGTCCTTGGCCTGGAAAACTTCTAAGACCCCTGATTTAAAATTCTTTTGTTTAGATCTGTGCAAATTACCCCAACTTATTTTGAAAAGCTGCTATTTTGCACTTTCTATGAGGGTTTTTTTTTATGAATGCTGTGGTTTCTAACAAGTATCATCATGTCCCTTACAAACAGACCAGGGAAAAATCTCAACCATCTGTCCATAGATAAGAAATGAGGGGGAAAAAATTGGTACAGTAAAGATTGCAGCTAAGGAATAGCCCTGCTGTTGCAAAAAAACAAAAAACAATAGCAGGTGACAGCTTTATGGCTGAAGAGTTTATTTTATTTTATTATTATTATTAATTTTTTTTTTTTAACCATTTTTAAGGCTGTAATTGTTGTCACCAGTTAACCCTGTGGATCTTTTGGGGTAAAATCTTAACTTTTGTTTCTTAAAGGAGAGTTATAAAGCAAATTTCTTGGGCTGGGCAATTAATTGCATGTGCAGTATAGTTTATTTTATAGTTTTTTTTAAATCGCAGATGCACTCAGTTTTCGTCACAGAGTACAAAGGAGTATGACATTAAATTTCTCACTCTAGCCCTTTAGGTGGTGGTAAAACTCTTTAACTGGGTTTGCTGTCACACAGAAGGTAAAAGAAAGAGATTAGCATCTAGCAGACAGATTCAGGCATGTAAATCAAAGTAAACACTTTTTCACACAAAGGTTACAGTTAAGTCATGTAACAATGGACTCTGGACGAGCAAGCTTTCAAGGCCATGGAAAAAACTGAAACTTTGGATGGAAACTCTACATGGAAGTGATTAGGATGATTTAACATCATTAGTTGAAATCATATCAATATTTGTCAAAAATATTTTTCAAAATCATTTAACCCAATTTGTAAAAGAGTTTGACTCAGTTAAAAAAAGAGCTTTTTTTTACTCTTAAATCTTTTTCCCTTGGGAAATTTAAATTTTGCCTGTCTTTATCAGCATTTTAAAAATAAACTGTCAGTCCTAAAATGTATTGAATGCATGAAAAGAGATCCTGAGCATGTAGGATTCACTATTGATTATTTCCTGATAGATTTTCTAAAGGGAAAAACAAAACCTCTAATTGAATGACTAAGATTTTTTATTTCATTCTTGTGTGTTCAGGGGCCACAGAGAGTGTTGGAAAACACATGCTTGAGGCATGCAACAATAACCTTGAGATGGCCGTGACCATGTTCCTGGATGGGGGTGGGATGGCAGAGGAGCCCAGCACCAGCTCCAGCTCGGCAGCTTCAAGCAGCAGAGCTCCCCCTACAGAGTGAGCTCATACTTTAACTCTACCACCCTGATTCTAGCTAAAGTTAGACTCACACTATCACCTTTAGCATCAGAAGCAAACTAGTTTTCATTGTATTGAGATGATTGAACAAAGCCATGAATTAATTTGTATAATGAAGGGATGACTTTTTGCTGTTGTGTATATTGATATTTTGTTTAATATTTCAGTGAAGTACGAGCACCCATTCCCCAGAAGCAGGACATTTTGGTGGAACCTGAACCTCTTTTTGGAGGTAACATTCTTATTTTGCCCTGTCTTGCAGAAAACGTGGCTGCTGAAATTATAAAATGAAAGTCTCTTCTTGTGTATTTGTTTAGTTCCAAAGCGAAGACGGCCTGCTCGATCAATATTTGACGGCTTCAGAGACTTCCAAACAGAAACAAGTGTGTACTTTACTTCTTAAATTAGATTGTGTAAAAATTTGATAGTGTTGAATTCTCCTTTACAGGAATCAGCAAGAAGGTATCTTTAACTTTCTGTTGTATTTTCTTTCCTAAAATGACTTGGAATGTTTTTGTCTAAAAGTCCGTCAGGAACAGGAGCTGCGGAACGGTGGAACAGTGGATAAGAAACTTAGCACTCTGGCAGACCTTTTCCGTCCTCCTATTGAGCTCATGCACAAAGGGAGCTTTGAGACGGTGAGAAGTCACCCTCAGGACACCCTATACCACACTTTTTGTCTGACTGGACTTTATGTGTCATTTCATTCAGTAGCTGTGTAAATTTGGTGGGAAACCGGGTTTTAAAAAAAAGCCCTAAACTTTTTTCATTTGTCAGTGTTCATTCATAAGCCTGGGAATAATGTAGAATCTTAACACAAAATGTTTTCTAGGTTTAGAGGATTCTTGGTCACAGAAAGTTAAAAAAAGCGCTCTGAAGTTCATACCAATATCATCTTCAATCAAAGATTTATCTGCTTAAAATGCAAATGCATTTAAAGTTTTCTGCTTAGATTTGCTCAGTAAAACTTTTGCGACTGACCTGTCTTTAATGAAACTGGTTACAGGATGTTGTTAAAAGAATAATTGGGGTTCCCTATGGAGAAAATGTGTTGCAGAAAACATCAGCTCTAAAGAGTTGTTTTGTTTACAAAACTTTAAGGGGCCTAAATAAAGTGGATAAACAGGCAATTATAGTTGGGGTGTTTTTATTAGTCTAGTGATAAAGAAATCATACTTGTAAATAAAAAAGGTTTGAGAAGCATTTTTAAAATAGGTAGGCTTTCCAAGAGAAGTACCATATTTTCCAGACTATAAGCCACTACTTTTTTCCCACGCTTTGAACCATGCGGCTTAGAAGAAGATGCAGCTTTTCTGTGGATTTTTCCTAACCGCCAGAGGGGGAAGTCAAAGTTGGAAATGAAAGAATAGGGGGCTAATTTTCATTTAGCACAAGAACATGGTAGCAGCAGGCACAGCGGGGAACAATGTCCCAAATTCACACATTTTGACATTTATTTGCCGCATTCAAGCTGCTGAACCAATGAAGAGACTGGGATAAAGAGCTGTTGAAGCCCCGTCTTTCAGTAGAAGCTTTTACTGCTGTGAGCTAACAAGCTAACAGGCTAGTATTATTTTTCCCTTTTTAAGGGGAAAAATGTAGAGCTTCCCCTACGGGTTTGGTTGGATACAGTTCAGTAGATATCAGTGACTTATAGCCCGGTGTGACATATATGTAAGTTTCCAGTAAAAAAAAAAAAAACATTGAGTGGGTGTGGCTTATAGTGAGGTGCAGACAAAAATGAATAGTCTGGAAAATATGGTATTTGTGATTGTAGAGCTTTAATTGTTACCCCATGCAGTCGTAGCCATACTTAAATTAAAGAGACTGCAAATAAGTTATGCATAGTTTTTTCTCATAATTGTTTAGTTGTCATGATTAGGGATGCAAGTTATTGTTAATGTATTAATCTAAAGTTGATTTCTCTTATCAATTGCCTACTAATTAATAAGCAGACAGATCTTTTCAAAACATTTATGGCTAAATATTTTTTTACTATATGCCAAGTCAATAAAAGTGGCCGATTACATTTCAATAATTTATTGTGATAGCTGTAATTAATACTGAATGTACAAACAATAATTTTGTTTTGCAAATTATTATAGTTACTTATAAGATATAAAAAGCAGGAACTTATTAAGTTACTAAATAATAAAAAGGGTTAATAAAGGGGAAAAGAAATTATACGGAACACGTTTTGGGAATCAAAACCGTTTAAACACTGATATTTGGACACTGATAAAGTTGCTGACCCTTCATCCCTGTGGATGCTCACTGCTCTGGTTTTTATCTACTCTGTTCTGATGCTAGAAGCGAGAGAGCAGCTTGGCTTTATTTACTTCAGTAAGTTGGGAAAACAGTTTAAAGACGTTTTTAATCAAGAAAATCCTCATCACAATGCAATCTTTGCAGTCAGGAGTGCCAGACTCCCAGCATACCGCTGGCTGGCAGCACTTTAACCCCTTTGTATATATTTATTTTTAATATGCAGAAAGCGCTGCAGAAATGATAACAGCTTGCATGTAGTGTCTATCTCCCCCAAAAAACTCATGGATCTGTTTTTCTGATTGGTGGCACTACACTGTCAATTTTCTGAACTCTAGCGTTGGACGTTCGGCGCCAGAATAATCGGATGGGCCACTCCCGATGCTCAAACTCGCCTCTGGACCTCTCAACGGCATAACCCCTAGACTTTGCATATAAATCAGAATTTTAGATGCCCAAAACGCGTTCAGTGTGAACACACCACTTATTAGGTTATTACTTCAGGAGTGTTTCAAATGTTTATATTTACAAACAGAACTGCATAAAGAGCTTTAAACATTGTAATAATCCCACACCAGACCCTCGATCAACTCCATGTTTCTGCTCTAGCATTCCTCCTCTTAACTTCTCTTGTAAATACCAGTGAGGCTCTGCTTAAGAATGACCAGCGGTTACAACTAATAGAGGCGGTAACATTACAACACCAGAAGAAATTCCTAATACAATAATTTGTTTACATCCCTACTCATGACAGTATCACAAAATATGAAAATCTATATTCCTCACCATTATCATTGATAACTGAAACCTGCTTTATAGACTTTCATCAAAGTGTTTTCTGTGTGTTACAGGCTAAAGACTGCGGACAACTTGAAAATAAGTGGCTAATGATCAACATACAAAATGTTCAGGACTTTGCTTGCCAGTGCCTCAACAGGGATGTTTGGAGCAACGATGCTGTGAAGAACATCATACGAGAACATTTTATATTTTGGCAGGTACGCATGTTATATCATGTTATTGCAGTGTCACGTGTTTGTGATGTGTATCCAGTAAGAGATCAATGCAGTTTGACATAAAGGGGTCAGCTCTATTGCTATTATTATGAAGTTAGTTTTACTGATTCCTTAAAACAAAGTCAGGATATGCCCATTGAGGTTCTTTTTCAGTAGTAGTAGTGATCGTACAACAGATTATCCTTTTATCTGCCTGTCCATTCGCCCATTCCACCGACAGAAATCCATTTCCTTCCTAAATCTATTTCATTGCAAGGGAAATACCAATTTCTTCACATTTCTGCATATTATCTCATCACCGTGACTCCATGAAAATGAAAATAAGTGCAACTCAGCTGAAAGTGATGCAGCATGTAAAATTAGATCATGGTTCCCTGTATTTGGACGCTGTTCAGTTCAGGTACAAGCTCAACATCCTTCTGTCCTGCCCAAAGTCCGACAGACACCATCAATTCTTTTGAATGAAAGTTTCTCTGTTATGAATAAATGTCAAATGTTTGACATTTTGGGAGTTTTTACTGTTTGTCCAAAAAACAATTGTGTGTTTTCTGGGACGGATCATAAATGCATAAATCTTCTCCTCGTCGGTTTTCTCGTGCATTTTATTTCAGGAAATAACGGTACAGCTCTTCTCTTGCTAGGTTTATCATGACAGTGAGGAGGGACAACGATATATCCAGTTCTACAAGCTGAACAAGTTTCCCTACATTTCTATTCTTGATCCACGGACAGGTAAAAGGTTTTAATATATTTTATGGATTGTGTTTTGATGAGTAATGTTGGTTACAAAAAAATTTTAGAATTTCATTTGTAGCTTTGAACCTTTTAATGAATTATGTGATGATGTGTTTTTGTGAACATTTCAGGTCAAAAAATGGTGGAGTGGAACCAGCTGGATGTGGCGTCGTTCATGGAGCAGGCAACAGGCTTCTTGGCAGAGCACGGGCAGCTCGACGGGCCCACCTGCAACGCCCCTCCTGCCAAACGGGCTCGGGCAGTGAGTACCAGCTTTGTAATACCGTTCAACTTAGTCCTTTTCTAAACTTTGTTTTGCTCTGGCGCCTCCAGCTGCTTACTGCGTTTTCTCTTTCAGGAGAGTCTGATTGATGCCAGTGAAGACAGCCAGCTGGAGGCAGCGATCAGAGCCTCCCTACAGGAGACCCACTATGACTCTTCAAATGTCATTGAAGCCCCCGACTCCCCACGATCAGAGGATGAATCCGAAGCTGAGCCTTTCTCGGACAGCGAGGGACCCATCTCCGTTGACGGCTCAGACAGCGAAACGCCAGCGCCACACGAAGAGAGAAGTTCTACAAGCAAACACACAGCGAGTGCTTCGGTCACCACTGCCCAGCGTCTACATCCTGATAGTTCCACTTCCTCCCACAGAAAATCCCCGTACAAAGAGAACAATCACAGCCACAAAAAAGAGGAGAGCAAAAAGAACCACCTGGAGCCCCCAGCTCCTAGTCCACTTCCTGCTCCTCCTGAAGCAGACTCTGGAGGAAATCACTGCTCCTCACAAAGCAAAAGCCCCGGAGCGTCCAACATCATCAGTACGACGTGCGACACGGACTGTCCTGATGACAATGGTATGAAGAAGTACCGATTTAAAGGCTTGTTGCAGGAGGATTGTGCATTCTATTTGTTCTTAAGTCATCATTTAAATTTGATAAGTTGGAGATCTTCATGTTCCCTTGATGACAGATTCATTATGGCTGCTGTTTCTATAACATACAAGAATAGCAGAAGAAAACCAGCTTATTTCTACATCTGAGAGTTTAGACCTACTTAGCATTCAGCATAATAAAGTACAGACTCACATTTCTTGACATTAATAGACTTACAGTATGTCTGTATAGACTTGGTTAGCTTGTTGGCAAAACATTTAGCAAATCACAATAGTTTTCAGCCTACGCTCAACTTGCTGCTGACACAATCCTTAATATCTAACTTCGACAGAGGATTTAGATTAAGACTATGCTGTCCTTCTATACTTTATGTCCTTCCTGTCTTCCATCTTTGTATATCTGTTTATGGCAATGACTTTCTTGAGCCCTTTTTGGTTGTACTTATGGTTAACTGGATTTTGAACTTCTGGTATTCCCTTTCCTTTAATGTGGAGTGATGGCTTAGTTGTTAGAGATAGATCCTAATTAGAGGCTGTAAGATGATATCTTCAAAACACAATCTGTTCCTGTCTCTGTTGAAAACCCTTAAGGGTTTTCAACCCTTAAATCCGACTTTGCGTCCAATCTGACAGAAAGTGGGCTTGCGTAGCTCCAACCAAGATAGACGGCAGATCATGTTCACTGTATATGGACGCTGTTAGTCGGACTACTCAGAAATTCAGCCGCAAATTCATGGGATTAACAGAAAGAGAGAGACGCAGTTATAAAGTAAAACACATCCGCTTTGGGGGAAAATACAAAATAAAATCTGTTAATTGCACGGGTAAACAGTCCCTTTTTGGAGTCGCACATCGCTTATATCGCAAGCAGGACAGACTCATGCAAAAACAATGAATGAAACGTTAAAAAATTTAATACTTTACCCATAGAAGGAATCCAGGAGGACAGAAAATGGATAAATCTGTGACCCTCTTGGAGCCCCGCAAAAACATAGAGGGACAGAAAGCGCAGTACATCAACCTCCCCGAAAAAGGATCACTTCAGGAGGAGAAAAATGGATATAGTGAAATGGTGATCCTCTTTGAGCCTCACAAAAATGTGTTAGGGGCAGATAGAGCAGGTAAGCACGGCGTATCTTTCTCACCTCTTTATAAAAAAACAAAAGAAAAACTTCTATAAACTTCATAGATCTCTCTCTGAGAATCACATCTCACTGCCTGAGGCAGCATATAAACCACCCCACCGCGTTTTTTGTTGTTATTTTTTTCTTTTCTACAGACTTAGATCTCATGTTTTTAATATAGGCCTGTGAACATTTTCTGTCAGTTAGGTGGGGCTTTGCTTTATAGAATTCGCTGGTGTCTTTTTTTTTTTTTAAATAACATAATTTGTCCATGTCAAATTTGGTCAATTGTTTTAATTTGTAGCGCAGAGACAGTTGTGAAAACATTCTGCACAGGTCTGCTCACCCTGCCTAGTCGCAGTCAGTGTAACATGGGGGGAAAAAAAATCTGAGCGGAGATCAAATAGTCGTACGCAGCCGGTGTGTTCAGGCCTTTAACCTCATGGTGCTACTCAGTTCTACTCAGCATGCAGCTCACCCTTTCCTTGAGGTATAATTTCACCACTGTGCCTGTTTCCCATCCTTGCTTTTTTTTCTTCTCTTCTTTCTGCCCTTTGTTGTGTCCTATCTCTTTCATTTTCTTAATTCCTTCTTTCCTTGTGACCTTATTCTTTCTCACTTTTTTCTTTTCTTTTAGGCTCGTTCTCACTGTAGAATTAGTAAAAATGGGCTTTTATACTTTTTCTAAAACTAACATAAAGAACAGAGATCTCTGGCTTGAAATTTCCTTTCTCCAATATGTTTGATTGAACTAGGATATGTTGTCTTTTTAGCCCTCTCTGAATCTTTAAGTGCATTTCTTTGCCAGGTCTGATAATATCCTTAAACACAAATTTATTTGTTGTAGACTTGATTTAACATACTGTAGAGATGAATTAAGCTCTTTTGATTATCCTCAAATCCCATCTACAATTTAAAAGAGAAAACAGGCTTAACCACTGCAGAAAGGTGTTCCAGCTTTAATTTTTGTGATTAAAATATTTAGGTCGGTGAATCTTAGAGAGAAAAAAAACGTCCGTTTAAAGAAAGGATTGAGTTTCAGTTTTGTTTTCCAGCACAATTAAGTAAGATCTGTTTAGAAAGCAGCTTCATTGCTGTAGAAAAGGATTTAATGTGGTGCTTTTTTTTTCCTTTTTTTTTTTCCAAAGGCCCTAAAGCCAGGTTGATGCTTCGTTACCCAGACGGACAAAGAGAGCAGATCTCCCTATCCTCAAAAGCAAAGCTTTTGGTGAGTTTAACCCATAATCTAATAACCATACAGTGCCTTACAGTATTATCTTACCCATTATTTATTTGATATTCCTCATAATAAAACCATTAGTGTGTATTTTAGTCTGATTTTCTGCTGGAAGAACACAAAGTTGTGCTTAAATCACGCTTATGACAAAAGCTTTATGGAAGAATTAGAAGACAAAAGCCTGTAATGAAAGGAAGTCATAAAAGGTTTTGTTTACAGATTGACATATATAGGAGAACCTGTTAAGGCTGTTACATACTTTACGACTGAGGCCTTTTTCTTGTTCTCAAAGTAGCAAGAAGAAGTAAAAAGTGCCCTCAAGTGTTTATACTGCATGAGAAACTCAGCTGCTTAGGTCCGCCCCTCTAAAGCACGTCAGTGAAGAAAAGTGAGTGGGTGGACTACCTCGCTAGGATGATTTAAAGAGAAAATGGTGTGAGTGTGCTGAAGTGGCCATTCCAACTAAGACATAGTTTAACTGTAACTACAGTGTTAAGTTGAACAGATACTTAAGGCATCTCTGCTCCTGCATAAACATCGCCACCTAAATCCAGTAGTAGGACACTTGCCTAGAAAAAAATAATCTCTACCCAGATGTGTCGAAAACAAGCAGTGAGACCAGAGCAAAATTATGCAATTCTCTGTGGGAGCGAGAGAAAAATGTGGAAAAAGTAACAGCCTGTAGTTACAAAGACTTGAGAAAATGAGGAACAGCAACGCTAACATACAGGCAGCGACAATAGCATGCTTTAGGTAAATGCTGACTGTGGTAGGATGCACAGTCAAAATCCAGACTTTGCTCCAACAGATCCTCTCATTAGCTCTTTATCTGTACAAACATTGAAGTTTAGAAAAAAATGTTTAATAGTTTTTAAAGATTGTGCTAAACATTGTAAATTGCAGCTTTCATAACTAACGCATTGTTACACTCTGTCCCTCTAGGCCCTGGTAAGACACGTCCAGTCCAAGGGTTACCCTAATGAACGCTTTGAACTCGTCACCAACTTCCCCAGAAGGAAGCTTGCCCACTTGGACTATGAGATCACATTGCAGGAGGCAGGGCTTTGTCCACAGGAGACTGTATTTGTTCAGGAGAGGAACTAGCCACCCCAAAAACTTTCTCTTTCTGCTTCTGTATTTCTAATAGACTTCACCATTTCACACATCGACAACCTGGGCTGACGTTGATGGCGATACATTCAGCTCTAAAGGAGGCCGCTTGTTGTGTCAGGGCTGATGTTAAAGGGTTAACTTTGACTGAATACTGAAATCTCCACCGACAGTCTAATGCCTTTAAAATGTTAAAGAATTGGCCAGTATGGCTTTCAGATATCAGTTTTTTTCCTAATGATGTCTGTTCTGCACTAATACAGCACATTAGAGCAGAAAACACAAGGTCATCTCCTGTTCATAAAACCTCAAATAACGAATCACTAATTGACTGTGGGCCACCAGAGACTTGTACAAAAAATACTTTTACTTCCCAAAATGTAGATTAAATGTCAGAGTTTATTTTCTAGCTCTTCCTTGTTTCGTTTATTCTGTAAATGAACAAGTAAAGGGAGGTTGCTTTTTTTTTTTTTTTTCCCTTCATCGTTTTTTCAAATGTTGAAACTCAGAATGCAGGAGTTCTTGAAGAACAGGTCCAGAAATAGCAGTCGGACTAAAATGTCTATTAATGCAGAAGGGAATGAAAGGGAAGGTCGTGCAGCACATTAGAGGGACCTACACCGTACACAGACAGCATAATAAGACTGACATTTAGCCGTAGTCACTGTTTCATTTCTATTTTCTTTCTTTTTTATATGCTCCAGAGGAAATATGCTGATGTTGAAATATACCCACAAAAAACTAAAATATTCTGTTTGATCTTTTCTCAAATAGTTGCAGGTTTTTAATCAAAGGTCAAAATGTAACTCGGGTTTTGATGCGCAACTCTCAAGAATGAAAAAAGGCTTCTGAGTTCTGGAGAATTTTAGGCAGACTCCATATTTTCTAGCAAAAATGTTTTTTGCTGTTCTTTTCACCACTGCTTGGTTTTGATTTTTCCTTCTGGTGCCGAGACGGTTGTATGTGGAAGCAAATGTTTCGGCACTTAAACCAAAAATTTTAATCTGAACTTTTTCTTATGAACAGCTGGTGGTGGTATCGTGCCTTTAAATGCCAACAACAAATGTGAAGACCATTATTTATAGTAAAAGGAAAGGTTTTAAAGGTTCTCGGCAAACACCCTGTTTTTGTGTATGATTTGTTTTTTTTTATCCAGTTGAAAACCAGGGGCTGTCTGGTAACCTGAAGCTGTTCTTAATTTAAACTGGTAATACAGATACGATTGGTTTGTTGCTGTTGAACAAACATGATATCCAATTTAAAGGTGATTTTTTTTTCTTTTTGTTTTATTTTGGCTCAAATCAGTCCTCCTTAGAGACCAGCGAAGATGAACATGACTCATGAAGTGATTAAACAAAAAATATAAACAGAAATGTGTTGTCTAGCTAAGGAAAAGGAGTCTAGTGGTAGCGTTGCGTGTTTTAGCTAAAATAACCTCAGAGATTAGCTTCTTCTTCTACCAGCCTCTGACTTTAGTCAAACTTTTCCTCTCCCCGCTTCCACGTCTGATGACTGAGGGGGTTCTTACACACCCTTTCATGTTTTGGATAAGAGCAGCCTGAACGGAACATCGATACATGCCAGGAGCTGTATGTTGACCTGAAAAATCATTTAATATGTCTCAGGTAAAGCTAATATTTGAGTCAAAAGTTAGAGGGTTGCTTTAAAGAGACCTTTAGACTGCTGAGTAATGTCCTGTTATCTGCTCTTGTATGCTTTTACCCTTTTTAAATGGGATATCATGCAACAAAATATCCTGGCAGAGGCCTTCACAAGATGACCTAGTTTTTAGAGATCACCAGAATAAAAAGAAGTAAAACTAGACCAAACATCTGAGAAGGGGTCCGATTGCAGAAGCCTGATTGGTAAACAGCTGCTTTGGGCTTCCACGCCTCTAGAGGGCTCCCAAGAGCACAAGAGTTCACATTAAAGACAACTTATTTCACAGTTCTTTTTTTAGCTTGCTTCACATTGGTGTTTTCTGATAATGAAGCATAATGATGGATAACATTATCTATCGGCCAGTGTTAGGATCTAAGCTCCTAAAGCTCACCAACTGGCTAATAACTGGTTTTATATACCATAGGTTCTTCTTCAAGTTTCTAAATCAATGATTTACAGGTAAAGCAGCATAGATTTGTTTGGACATGCAGTTCATGTAATCCATTGGTGTAATAGAATAAGAATTACAGGTGAAAGGCCCAAATGTTCAACTATTAATATGGATTAAGTGAGACACTTGTAGATAGTGATTGTGGGCACAGGCCCATACATCATTTTCTATTTATGGCCTGAGGTCTGAAGGTCGTGGAGGAGTAGAGCATAGATGTAGGTTTAAAAATATGAATTGTACTAGTAAGGTGTTCACCAAAACTAAAAAATAATGTAAAAAGAGGGTCTGAAATCGCCACAGTGAGGTTTAGACCACCATTCAAAAAGCATCCATTACTTGCATTGTGTGAACCTAAATTGATACACTGGCAAGTTTATGACCTATTTATAACATATTAAGACCCCAGAAACGGGAAAAAAAAAAATTAACTGCAAAGACTGTAACTGCAAAAATTTTTGAAAGCTGTTAAAGCCTTTCTAGATTTGTCCCTTTCAAATAGAAAATTGACGGCCATACCTTACATACATAACACACCTTACTGAAGCTGACTGCAATAGACAAAAACTCTTCCTTTAGGCGTCTCCTTCAATCTCTCACCCATCCTAAGCTGCTCATATTTTTCCACCATTTTATGAAATTATAGCCTTTTATTTAAGCATTGTTTGTGTTTTGTATCTGTTGATTGTTATTTAAGGGTTTCCCTCTGTCATCGTGCTGATTTTCATTTTCTTTGAATGCCCAGCCATTTTTTAAGAGCCACAAACCGTATTAGCAACAATCATTCGGTTCGGGGGCAAAGGTCAGTTTAGAGGGGGAAAAAGTCTTGCAGCTGCACAAATAGATGAGGGCATTGACTCTGCTTCACTTGCCTTTCTGTGTGCATTTTACAGTTTTAGATACGCTGTTATTCACCTCTTGTTCTATGTGGAAAGTAGAGAAAAAGAGCAACTTAAAACAGAAAATGTTTCTAGAAAATGTTAGATCTTTAATCCTATGCAGTACTTTTTACTGCTCTAGGGTGTTACTAAGAGTATATGTGCATTTTTTTATATATAAAAAGTTTTTGGCTGCACACTGACGCAGTGGGTAGTGCTGCTGTCTTGCAGCAAGAAGGTTTTGGGTTCGATTCCTGGCCCAGGGTCTTTCCGCATGGAGTTTGCAGGTTCTTTCTGTGCAGGGTTGGGTTTTCTCCGGGTTCTCCGGCTTCTTCCCACAGTTCAAAAACATGACTTCATTGGCTTCTTTAAATTGTTCTTAGCTGTGAGTGTGTGTCTCTGTGTTGCCGTGCAACAGACTGGCAACCTGTCCAGGGAGTTCCCCGCCTCATGCCCATAGACTGCCTGATATGCACGGGCCCCACCACGACACTGGCAGGACTAAGCAGGAGAGGATGGATGAATGAAAATTACCTTTCTTCCATTTGGGAGCTTTAATTGCTGCCCTGCACTTATATGCGTTTCCTAAAATGAGAAAAGATTGCAGCCAACATCCACATTTTATTGTAAATCCCTTTATTGTCCCACAATGGGGAAATTCACTCTCAGCATTTTACCCTTCCCCTTCAGGAGCAGTGGGGCTGTCATTGCACAGCGCCCGGGGAGCAGTGTGGGGTTAATGGTTTTGCTCAGGAACCCAGAGTAAAGGCTTTAAGGAATGAACCAGGGACTTGCAGCCTTCTCAGAGCACAAGCGCCCTGCTCTAACCCAGTAGGCCAACACTCGCACAATCTCTAAATGTATAAGTTCTGAAATGTAACTGGGGCAGCAGAGGGTTGCCTGGTTGCATAACAAGCTGTTGCCCTCGACCATAATCCGGCCTTTTAGCTGGTTCTGAGAAAGAATCAATAGAAGTTAATGTCTGACCAGCAGGCCATCTCAGATCTGAGTTCAAAGTAATGAGTTACTGAGTTTTTCACATGAAAATCAGTTCAAGGATCATGAAATAGCACAAGTCATGACAAAAACCTAACCATTAAATAAAGATGACAATCCACAACCTAAAAAATGAATGTAGAATTAATAACATTGTAGGCTGTAGAATTTGAATCCACAGGTTAAAGTTTAGTTTCTGCTTCTTGGGTGCAGAGCAGAGATGTCAAAGCTTTGAGTTTCTTTGAAATTTATCTCAACTTTATGTACAGCTCAGAGTCCCTTCGTCTGCGAATTCTGAATAAGACGTTTTTTTTTGGGGGGGGGGTTGGGCCTTTTCTCAAGTCTTAGAATTAGGCTTCTGTGGTAATTCACCATAGCTCATTAAATGCAAATTTCAGTCAAAAACAAACATCTGACAATTTAAACATCTAGTATATTTTGAATGGAGGAAAATAAAATTTTTAAGCGGAGGATTTTAGGTTTGACTGAGCTCTGTTCAAACAGCACCTTCAGATGAGGAGATGAAGCCTTAAGTCCCTTTTTTTTAAAGTAATCATACCCTTGAACTTGTGTATTTTCTCACATTACAACCAGCAAACTGCAGGATGTACAACAATCATGTGAATAATTTAGTTTTTCAAATGAGACTGAACATTTGCATTTTATGCAAACTGCTTAAAGTGAAAGAAAATTCAATGTTAAATGGCCTGTACTTATACAGAGCTTTTTCAAGTCAGAGGACTTGACCAAAGTGCTTTACACTACATTCAGTCATTCCCCCAAGAACATAATGAAACTGAAAGCCAGAAACGGGGCTCGAACTGACAACCCTCCAGTTGCAGGGCAAAGCCATCCAATGCCACTGTCGCAACAAATTACAGCAGGCAGAGAACTCTTAACACAATTGTTAAACATGACGATGGGAGCATGATGCTGTGGCGACTCTAAGCATGGACAAGTTTTCCATGGTTAAAGGAAAGGTTGATGGGGAGAGTATGAGGGAAAACATTGAAGAGGCTCGAACTCTGGGCACTAGGGTGGATGTTTATCTTACAGAACACGGCTACGGCTATTTAAGAAAGGGACGTATCAAAGGTAATGTTTTGGAATGTCGTAGTCAAAGTCAAGATCTAAATCAAATTTAGAATCTGTGGGCATTTATAGGTAAAACCTAAATGGGATGTGAGTCAGTGGTGTTCGGTTAATTAGAACCAGAGTTTAAATTAATCAAAGTTCATTATAGAACAGAAGTGGGAACCATTCAAATCCTAAACCTTTACTGTGTACAGATTCTAGAAAAGGTTATTGGAAAATCCCAACCTCCCCAGTGAGTAAAACACATTGATGTTACTGTGTTATCATGAGCCATCATCACGCTGCTGAGTGAAATGTCAGTACAGATTGACTAAGAACGAGCCATCTGTGAGGACGCAACACCAACTCATCTGTGAAAGACGGATCAGGATAAGGGTGATGTGTTCCTCTAAAGGCACAGAAAATAAAATTACTTAAAAGGAATTTAATTCTACTGTGAAATATGACAAAACATGGAAATAGCACCATCTGAAGATGTTAAATCAACTGTCTACAGACTCAAACAGTTGATGGCCTGGAACCAACAAGAAACCAATGGAAGGTTCTCACTCAACTCTTTGCTTCACAAAAACAAGCACATCTTGTAAGCACTTGCAAAAAAACTTAAAATAAGCTTATTTTGAATTGCAAGATAATCGTTAAAATCCAACCTGTAATTTGAGTTTTTCTTTATTTCATTTGTAAAAATATTTTTTAAAGAATTGATTGCTTTCACAAAACTGCGATGGCACAACTAACTTTCATCACTTTTAAAACTGAAGACTCCTTTTTTTGTTTTTACTTATTTATAGCATAATTTTGATCACGACTTTCTGTTTTACTGCAACATAAAACTATTACACATAGACCTGTTTCTATTGCCCCTTAGTCTTGACACAAATACATATTTATCTTGCAATGAACCCAAATAAGGAAGACAGCAGAGACTAGTTAGAAAACATTAGCAAAGTGTGGAATCTGGGACAGTGTCTCCATAACATTACATAGACTTTAGAGAATCTAAATGTCATCTTGAGACAAAATGAAAGAGGAAAAGTGTTCCATCCATTGAAAAAACATGTTAGCAGTAGCTCAACTAAAAGCACCTTCCAAGAAGATGTCACAGCTAAAGTGTTGCTATTACTCAAGTCATTTCATATTTTATTAATGACACTTTATTGATTCCAAAATGTTAAATTTCCTTTTGGTACAGCCAATCCAAGAAAAGACAAAAAACATTAGACATGGAGCTGTGTCTGCAGCCTTGCTGTTATGAAAGGTGCTGCCCACTACCCATTAGTTAAGAACAATAAGAGTAAAGGATTACAATGGAGGGAAAAAGTGTATTTCTCATTTTATCCTTAGCTGGATACAGTCTGAGTCTTCAAAACACCTCAGTACAAAGACCAAACAGATATAAAACAATTGTGAAATGTTTGAAAATAAAGATAGTGACACCAATTTTTGTATGAATAATGATTAGTAAGAACAATTACCAGAATAAGTAATTGTGAGTATCAGGCATATAAATCATCATCAGGGTTATTATGACACAAAGTTACAATAGAATGACTCCTGATTCAACAAAGTCTATTCAACATAATTTTGTTCACAAGTACTGATCTGATTACTCGTTTAATTGGCTCAATAGTCAAAAAGAAGAAGGTACCAAAAGGAGGAAAAGGTGCATGGGAATATATACAGTATATACAGTGAACATATATATATGACAGCTGAAGACTCTTATTTAGCAGGATTACTATACAGGGTTATTGCACAGGTATTAACATGGGTATTTATATATATTGCACAGGGTATCATATAAAAAAACTGGTTATTGCACAGGGTGTTAAAAGGTAATTGCACATTAGATATTGTACAAGTTATTGCCGTTGTAGTGTCACATTGCAGCCGGGATAAATGACCTGCAGTAGCACTCCTTTTTACAAACGGTGTAAGAGTCTTTCACTGAAGGAGCTGCTCAGCTCCTCTACAGTCTGGTGCAGGGGGTTAAAGGTGTCGTCCATGATGGATGTAAGCTTGGATAGCACCCTCCTCTCAGCCATTTCCTCCACTGAGTCCAGAGTGCAACCTAGGACAGAATCAGCCTTTCTCATCAGATTGTTCATTAATATAAATAAACAAAAAAACAACTCAAAATGGATTTGGTAATTTTATTTCTAAGCTCCCACAGGCATCCAGTATTTCTTTAAAAAGCTTTGGCATCGATGCCATTGGATCATTTATGGATGTATTTATGTGGATCAATGTATTGTTGCATCCCTTCTGAGTATGTCAAACACTACAGAGCTAGCTGAGCTTGATCTAACTATAATCTTTATCAAAAAGCAAAGTTATAGTCTTAACAGCAGACAGAGTGTCTGCCCCAGACAAAAAACAGGAGCTTGTGTTGTAAGAGAGAAGGCTGGCACAAGCACATCTTCTTTTTTCTCCAACATAAAAGAATGGCCTAATAATCAACCAAGTGATTTGAGACATTCTTTGACTCAAAGTTTATGGGTTAAAATACCTGTTTTATGACATCCATGGAACAAAGACGTCTTTTCATGTGGCCTGTATCTTCTTGAGGACTAAGAACAAGACATGAGGACAGAAAGAGGAGAAATATGAGTGTCGTTAGATTTGATAAGGCCAAAGTAACCAGAGAAAATAAGAATTGGATATGTGGCTTTCAACACCCAGATAAAAAGCATCTGTTATACTCTTGCCATATTTGTACTTGACGGCACCGTGCAGTAACATAATAGAATCGACTAGTGGTAGAAAATATCACATACAAAGTGGGAACCTATGATATGTATATATCAAAGACTGACATACTGGTCCTTTTTTATTGGATGAGCTGTAGTTCACTTGGTAGTGATTGGCTGTCACATTTTACACTGTATCTAACCAATAAGTCTGACCCTCTGGAGATAAAGGCTCACTGAGAAAACCTATCAATGCCTCAAGAGTCCAAACTCTGCTTGTGTTTTGAACCTAAAACTTATCACATTTAAGATGAAAAAGCATTTCTTCCTAAACTTTGACATCCAAAGATGACTTCTGGTTTCTACAGACGAAAAAAAAAAAAAAAATTAAACACTTAATCTGTGTGATTTCAAAATGTTATTGAAAGAACAGTAGCAATCTTTGAAATTAAAATGTTCTTTATCAAATATTTTTATATGATATCAACAGGTTTAGGTATTGGTTTAAATAAGCAATTGAAAGATTCTCAGGTTCATGACAGTAGCATCTAAAGGTTCCTCCTGGTTCTACAGAGATCTAGAAGCCCTGCTCTATGCTTGACTGAAGATTATGTCTAAATAAAACATTTAAAAATCAGAATAATTAGGTGACTTTATTGCCCCTTTGTTGTAGATGCATCACTAGCAAACAAGTAAAGTGGAAATTCTTTTATTTTCTGCACTATTTAAGTCATGTCATGTTTCATAAAATGACAGACAAATGAATAGCAAAAATATTCATCGTACCATTAAAATAGGCATTTTTGCGAGGGTTGTAAAAGATGCACAAACATATAAGAAATGCACAAAAAAGTATTAAAAAAACAACAACCTATAACTGACAGAAACATTAATGTCGCCAATTAATTCATAAAGAACATAATGGTTATCTGGATAAGATTGATGTTGCTCTCATACCAAAGAAATCCTGTTTATCTGATGTGAAACGTTGCAGAACTGATGAACTGATCAATCCCCCTGTCTAGGTGGAAATCCCTGGTTTCCTAAAGTTTGCAACTTTACATGCATGTTAAACCAGAATATATTGCAAAAGCCATTAAGAGATCTTGCAATATTTCATTTGGCACATGGCAACAAAGAAGGAGGCGTTCTGCAAATCCACATGAACCAAAGGCTCAGTCAGTATTAGGTAATATTGACTTTAGAAACATGACATTAGCTGAGCCTAACCACAGCTTTAAGTACACAAATTTTATTTTATTTTTTTATAAAGTTTTCTTTCTTTTTTTTATCTTTTCTTTGTGTGATTATTCTTGTTTTGTCAAGAAGAGACTCAAACACATGTAAATAGGGATGTTATTTCTGTTGCTGTAATGAAATATCTGATCCATGTGTAAAGCTGTTTTACATTTTCATAAAGAGTAAGAACAAAATAAACATTTTATATGTGAATTCAAAATGCAGCCAGGCATACACATAATCTATAAACAGAGAAATAAAAGAACAAGCTCCTCGGGTTTTGAGAGTTGTCATTGTTTTACGTTAAATCTACATGAATTAGAACCCTGACTTAATAGAGTCATTTTCCTTCCATGACTATTTGCTGCTTGTTTTGTCCTGGCCAAACAAACGTTGCCTGAGAAACAAAGGTGATGATCAAATCAATTAATCCATTTTTTTTTTTTCTCAGCCTTTGGGACGACTTAGGCCAACTTAGAGGTGGGCAATAATAGAACCATCAACATGGTTTAATAATCTAAACCCGCTGAAATAAACTTTGGGAAAACAAAAACAAAACAGCTAACACTCCGAATGTGTCCAAAAGTAGCTCCTTTGGTTATCTAAACTATTTCTAAGGATGTGAAATTCCATTATGAGGAAATTTGGGTCACTCCTCTGTTTCTCATTTATCAGCACACCAAAGTACAAAGCCGCCCTCCCATTAGGAAACTTGAGCAAACTGTGGTATTTTATCTCTTGGCCACCTCCAGTAGATTCTGCTATAAAAGCAGCAGCCCCCTCGCAGTAGATCTGCTCTGTCCTTCAGGTCAGGAGACCACACAGTCCACCAGCATGAACCCTCTCCTCCTTGTGGCGCTGCTTGGATGCGTTGGTAAGAACCCTTTACAAAACAAAAAAAAAATGTATTTCAATTTTCTGCTGACTAATCCTGACTGATATGTTTCTTTATTTACAGCTGCTGTGTCTGCAGCCCCGGCTGAGAAAGTGAGATGGTGCGTAAAGTCGGACCAAGAATTAAGGAAGTGCACGGATCTTGTAGCCGCGGCTCCTGCTTTCTCCTGTGTGAAGAAGGAAAGCACACTTGAGTGCATTATTGCAATCAAGGTAAGCATATCACCCTTAGACATAACTCTCTTTGAGTTAACTTATCATTTACATCAGCAGTTTTCTTTAAAATGATAGAGGTTGTTGCAAAACATCCAATAACGGTTTCATTGTTATCCAAACTTCAGCACTGTGCTTCCATCTGAAAAAAGTGTTTCCCTTTTCTTCCTTTTTGACACAAACTATGTGATTCTGACAATTATTAAAGATAATTGATCATAATCCATATGATGCTAAAGGCTGATGATACAGCAGGAAGAAAACTACTAGATCTGTAGTTTATGTTGCCAAGGGACAGCAAACAGCAGACTAGGAAAAAACATAAAAAAATATACTATTTATAGTTATTTCAGAAAATGGTAAATTGAAAGCCCAAAGCCACCTTCCAGTTTGCTTATTCATTAGATGTTTGTACTCATTAAAGGAAGATAGATTGGGGATAAAATTCTAGAGACCCTTTTAACTTTCTTACATGTCAGACACACTCCCTGTTTTGCACTTTGAAACAAAAAGTGATGAGATAGCAATAATCCGCAAATCACAAAATTCCACCTAAATCAAGTTTTAAGCCTTAACTTCAATATAATGCCATGTGTTTAATCTGCTGTTTTTTATTTCCCCGAATGCAGGAACATTTTAACTAATATATTTTACACACTGCAGAACTGATCCAAATCGGGAAGTTATATGTAAAATAAATAAATTAATTAAATTTCAAAATAGAAAAAAAACATGATTTAAGAGTAGATAACTGTTGCAAATCCAATATTTTTACTGTTAGAGAAGGAATTTTCTACCAGTATATGTCCAGTTAGGGACATTAGACCCATTTATTCTGGATTGTTTTTTTGTGTGTGTTTTTTTTTGACAGGCTGGTGAAGCAGATGCAATCACAGTAGATGGAGGAGACATTTACACAGCAGGACTGAACAACTACGATCTACATCCTATCATTGCCGAAGACTACGGAGAGAGTATGCATACGCAGCAGCTGTCTTTGTACATAAATCAAGCATTAAGAGTGCAGCTTTACTCACTGCTTCTTTTTATTCTCACACATTCAGCCTCAGACACCTGCTACTATGCTGTGGCTGTCGTGAAGAAAGGAACTGGATTTGGCTTTAGGGATCTCGGAGGGAAGAAATCTTGCCACACCGGTTTGGGAAAATCTGCAGGCTGGAACATTCCCATTGGAACTCTGATTTCAGAGAATGTCCTTCAGTGGGCTGGCATTGAGGACAAACCTGTGGAGGAAGGTAAGAAATCTGTATTTGTTCTTTGAACTCACCCTGGACTGTGTGTTTGGATAGTTTACGCAGTATAAAGGTACACTTATGCAATTGTGAGTTATTTTTCTGGACTACTTACAATCAGTCAGGTATGTTTACTTTAGCTCTAAACAGTATTAGTTCTAATCTTAAATAAATCCACATTTTCTTCTGAGATAATTCTGGAATTTGCTGGTCAAGGTAAAAAGCTGACAGCTGGCACAAAGATTTAAGACCAGTACAGTGAAAAGTAAGACAATAAGTCTGGTTCTAGACTCATTCCTATATCCAGCATTACCACTATGTAAGGCAGTTACATAATGGCAGCATATGGCCTTGTTTTGAAATAGTTCTCCCCTTAAGCAAGAATATTATCAATTGGCCTCAACATCAACATCATATTTTGTATATTCTTTTTGCTGTTATAAACACCAGAATTTCCCCATTGTGGAACAATAAAGTGGTTTTCTATTCTATTCTATTCTATTCTATTCTATTCTATTCTATTCTATTCTATTCTATTCTATTCTATTCTACTCTATTCTATTCTATTCTATTCTATTCTATTCATGCTATCACCTTCAATGTAGATGGTGTTGCTTTGGTTTCAAGCCTTTATCTAATAAGCTTATTAAATTTAAAGGCATATTGGAAGATGTTCTTGATGTGTACCATCAAAATTAGTGATCCTAATAATTGCCAATCATTCTGGTGATATGTTTACCTAAGTCCATCCTACGTGCTCATACCCATTTTCACTTATTGTTGGTGAGTCTGACATAGTGGAGAAATTGCAAATCTTCTTTTGGAAATTAAGCTTGTATGGGCGATGCAAACAGCAACTTTTAAACAAAGCATGCATTTTTTTTAAGTGGAGCGGAAAAGTCTTTTCAAAAATTCGCAAAAATCCTCCACCATACCTTTAAAGTTTTTTTTCTTATATTATTTCATGAACAATTACCGGTAAGCAGGGCTAAGGCCTTTTGCATGCTTTTCATTTTCCATAAATGTTTTGACAGGACTGAAATGTTTTGGAATTATTTGGTTTTAATTAATTATCTAATGTATTTTCAGCGGTAAGCACCTTCTTTCAATCAAGCTGTGCTCCAGGAGCACCACGGGGCTCCAAACTGTGTGAAATATGCAAGGGAGACTGCTCCAGGTCCCAAAAGGAGCCTTACTACGACTACTCTGGAGCCTTCCAGTCAGTATTTACTATCCTCACGTCTCTCCAGTGTCGCTTTCTTTATCTCTGACAGGCTTGAAGAATCATATCTTCGTCTCACATCCTTATTTTTTTGTCTCTGTTTCTTTTTTCCTACTTGTTTAACATTCTAGGTGTCTGGCGGAGGGTGCAGGCGATGTGGCATTTGTGAAGCACCTCACTGTACCCGGTCAGTATAGCTCAATGGATCATTGTCTTTTATACGTTTACATAATAGCTGTTTTGTTGGTTTTTGTTGTTGGTGTGTGTGTGTGTGTTTTTTTTGTATTTTACCTTAAAAATTAATAGTCAGAAATTGCCAAGCACATCTGTGTCACAAATATGGTGTGCTTAGCGTAAAAATAAAGGGCATTTCTGTATTATTTTCTTTTTTGTGACAATGTTTCTTAACATCAAATCTTATGCTACTGGAAACCCTTCTAAATTTCTCATAAATTTTGTTATATTTGTAAGAAAAATGCATTTTTGGGGGTTGTGCATCAGGGTTAGGTATAACACCCTGTCTTCCAAAGCCAAATAGCTTACTGTGGAGCTGGTGTGATGGTGAGATGCTTTACCTTGAAAAAGGAAACTTGTCATTACTGGATTATAATCTGAAGGCAGAAAGTCAATGGCAATATACCTCCACTCTTATTGGTTGAGCTCAATCTTACATAATGTCAATGGCGAACAAAACAAAGGACACCTTTTCAGGGACCAACTCAAGTATTTGAAAATGGTAATAAAATAATAAATAAAATTTTTATAAAAATTATTCAAATTTCTGTCTTGGTCGGGGGTACAAACTCAACTCTAATGCTCAGCCCATAAATGCAGTTTATTTACAAATGTGTACCCATTTGAAGAGCAACAACATGAGCCATAAAAAGCTCAGCCAGCAACGGTGGATACATGTTGATGCCAGTGGTTGTAGAATTTCCATTTTTCTCTGCATCAAGATAATGGCAAGTTTATAAGATTCTATCATTAAAAAAACACAATCAACCACAATTTATTAGCTTTTCTGATATTTGTAGATGGGACATAATTATAAAAATAATTATAAATGCAAGATGAATTTAGCTAAATAAAAATATGGTTTCTGAATTTGCTCGTTTAGATTCTGAGAAGTCCAAATACGAGCTGCTTTGCAAGGATAATACAAGAGCGCCCATTGATAACTATAAAGACTGCCATCTGGCCAGAGTACCTGCTCATGCAGTTATCACCCGCAAGGACCCAGAGCTGGCTAACCTGATCTGGAACAGTCTCAGTGGTGTGCAGGTAAAATGAATTAAGCATAAGGAAAATACAGAGACTACTTCAAACTTGCAGAAGGAAACTTGAGCTGTGCTTTGTGTGTTTCTTGACTCTTCAGAATTTCAACCTTTTCTCCTCTGAGGCTTACGCCCCTGCCAAAAATCTAATGTTCAAGGACTCAACACAGAAATTGTTGCGAGTGCCTCCAAACACAGACTCCTTCCTGTATCTGGGTTCTAATTATGTGAGCATTGTCCACTCCCTCAAAAAAGGTAAAAGTGGGGAAAACCCGTTGAAAGAAATATCCAGATTCACACATTCATCTGTCAATAGTCATGCCGTAAACATGTTTTTTTTTTTTTTAAGAGTCCGCCACAGGAACTGCATCCTCTGGCATCAGATGGTGCGCTGTTGGCCATGCAGAGACTGTAAAGTGTGACGAGTGGAGCATTAACAGCGTGACTGATGACAGCGCCTCTATTGAGTGCCAGAATGCCCCAACCGTTGAGGATTGCTTCAAGAAAATTATGGTAAAACCAAAAAGATCTATGCGCTCTACTTTTCACAGGGGAATTCTTGGTTTCTTTTTTTCCCCTTATTTTTTTTTAGCTTGTTTCTAAATGTTTGAAACATCTTGCAGCGCAAAGAGGCAGATGCGATGGCTGTGGACGGAGGACAGGTGTACACTGCTGGAAAGTGCGGTCTGGTTCCTGCCATGGTGGAGCAATACGATGAACGTATGATGCCAAAAAATTTACATAAAACCTGATTGATGATAACAATGTGTGTTTTGGGAAAACTTTGGTTAATCTGTAACATTTTCAACTTTTGTCTCTGCTCAGAGGCGTGTACTGGTCCTTCAGGTATTACACCATCTCTTTTATACTTTTATTAAGACACTCAAATATTATATTTAGGTGTTCTTGCTGTAACTCATCTTCTTCTGCTTTCACAGACACAGCCTCCTCCTATTTCGCTGTTGCTGTGGTAAAGAAGACTTCAGGAGTGAACTGGGAGAACCTGAAGGGAAAGAAATCCTGCCACACAGGCGTAGGCAGGACAGCTGGCTGGAACATGCCCATGGGCCAAATCTATTCCCAGACTAAAGACTGCAACTTCGGTCAGTGCAAAACTGTTACTTACTCATTTTTTATTACAAGACAAAATTGCGTAAAATGACAGATTTTTGGCGTCCTGAACCGTCTTTGAAAACGTTTTCAGTCTGACTGATTGATTACACCCTGCTTCTCCACAGCTAATTTCTTCAGCAGTGGTTGTGCCCCAGGTGCCGAACCCAGCTCTCCATTCTGCCGTGAGTGTAAAGGTAGCGGCAAAGCCGTGGGAGATGAAGCCAAGTGTAAAGCCAGTGCTGAAGAGCAGTACTATGGTTATGCTGGAGCTTTCAGGTACATTGAGACACATCAGTGACTGTATGACATTGTCTATGGTATATGTTGGTCATGTAATCTCTCTTTGCTATTTTGCCTAGTGTTGTCTACTTTAATTGTCTGAGTGTGGCTTTGACAATTATAATTTCTGATAAGAAAATGTTTTCAACATCTTTGCTTTTGGCTAAAGTAAAGGGTTTTTTGGGGGGTTCCATTGGGCTGGTTAGCTGAAAAGTAGTAAAGTTTTTCACAATGACCTCTGCACAATATAAATCAACTACAAACTTTGGCTGTAGAGTAAGCAACATTAGCTGGCATTCAGAATGACTCTTCTGTAGCTTGTTTTTCTGTCTGCTCTTTGTTGTGAACAATATAAGGTGAGTGGAGGTCGTGAAAAAAAAAACTGAATCAAAAACAAATTGACTTATTTTAATTCTTGAAGAAGGAACCTAAAGACCTGGCAACTTTCAACCAAGAATTCAGAACTAATGAAGACCCCTGGAAAAGTTTGAAATGACTAAGAATTAAACAGAGTCCAGTTGTTTTAGTTCTGTTTTTTGATAATGATGCTAAAGATTGATATTTGATCAACGGTTCCTTATTTGTTACATAATTAAATGTCTGTTTCACACATATCAAAGTCCTCTGGATTAGGTCTGATCATATCTAATTAAAAGTCTTAATTAATCTGGTCAGTGACATCATCATGACACCATCATGACACCATGTGTGGCTTATTATTGCAGATGTCTGGTTGAAGGTGCTGGTGATGTAGCCTTCATTAAACACACAACTGTTGGAGAAAACAGTGATGGTAAAGAACATTACCTGACTTCACGCTAGTACCTTGCTGAATTGTTAGCTAAAAAATGTCAGCGTCGCTCTAACCTATGGCCCTTTTTTTTCCTGATCAAAGGTAACGGTCCTGAATGGGCTCGTGGTGTGAATTCTAATGACTACCAGTTGATCTGCCCTGGAAAGGATCCAATGCCCCTCTCTGAGTATATGTCTTGTCACTTGGCCAAGGTCCCAGCACACGCTGTGGTAACCCGCCCTGAGATTCGTGATAATGTGGTTCGCATCCTCCAGGACCAGCAGGTCAGTCATACATTTTAAAAGAAATTATAGGCTTTGTTATTATTCACAGGATTGACAATGCTTTTTATATATATATATATATATATATATATATATATATATATATATATATATATATATATATATATATATATATATATATATATATAATTTTTGCCCAGAAAACGTTCACATTTTTGAACTTTTCCATCTGATGGCAGTACCTAACCCTTATTTTTAGTCTTACTCATCAACCTGGCAGCTTCACGAGGCCGATTTGAAGTAGAATACTGATTTTGAAATCAAATCAAAACTGTTAGACAACATTAAAGTCAGTTAAATTTAAAAGTTAACCAAATATAGATTCCATATTTCTAAAAAAAAAAAAAAAAAAAAATGTTGTTTACTTTACAGACCAAGTTTGGAGCCCGCGTGGATTCCACGTTCAGAATGTTCTCATCAACCAATGGAAAGAACCTCCTCTTCAAGGACTCCACCAAATGTCTCCAAGAAATTCCATCTGGAAGAACTTTTAAGGAGTTTTTGGGAAATGAGTACATGGCCGCCATGTCCTCACTGAGAGAATGCAGTGACACTGCTTCAGGTTTGTGCTACTCAAAGTTGCTACTAGGATTTTCAATTATCAGCAAACATGCATTGCTTTTGGAGCCCATTTGAACTCAGTATTTGAAAATGTATTTTCTTTCCTCCCTTCAGATCTGGAGAAATCTTGCACTTTCCATACTTGCCAGCAACCCTAAAGTGTAGTGAACAGTTTCCCATCATTCCATCATTGATTCAGCAACACTTCCTACATTCACCATCCAAATCAAATTGCGAGCTGATCTTGCAATCTGCTTTTTTTTTTTTCAAAATAACAACAGAAATATTACACACTTAAGATAAACAATCATGGGATCATTTTATTTTAGCTATCTGTTGGAAAAAATATCAGACTTCCAACATGACATGATTGATTTTGCTTTGTTAACCACTTTACTATTTCCAAATAAAACTTCTCAAAAACTTTTTTGTGGACCGTATGTTATTTGTTGCAACAGTACTAAAATGTATGTTATCTAAAGTATTTATTCATTTTTCACTTAATTATAGATGCACTTTTGAAAAATTTTGGTTGCGCTGTTTGAATTAATCAAATTCATGAACAGCTTTATCCATTTCAAACAGTGGTTTGCAATGCATTTGGGATAATTGTCCAGTTGGAAAACTTCACCCTCCTAGTTGACTTTATGCAGATCTTAAAATAAGGTAATTGTTTCTTTAACCGTTTTTGCTCTTCGTAAGTACCAGTAGAAGCCAAAATGCTCCACAGCAGGATGCTGCCTTAAAGCTCAAGCTCTACAATTGGTAATGTTTGTAGCTTTCAAAGCCTTGTCTAAACATCTCAGTGGCAACATTTTTGTATCGTTTGACTGCACAACCTTTCTCCATAAGCTGTTTTGCTTGTGCATCAGGAGAGGGCCAAACTGTAATAGTGAAGCTAGATCCATGTTTTTTGAGCTCCTGCCTTTCAGCCCTTAACCAAGGTAATATTTCCTACCTTGTGGTATTATTGTGGTCTTATCTGTTTTATGATTTTCTGAAACTTTGTGGGTTCTTTCTGAATCAGGATATCTTACTGGAAAATTTTGTATGCACAAACATGAAGTTTCTATAGTTAACATCAAAAACCATCATCAGTTCATTCAAGTAGGCTGCAACTAACGATTATTTTGCAAATTGATTAATCGTGGATTATTTATAAATTAATCAATTAAAAATAGGATTGCCAAAGATTCCTTGAAGAAGACTTTTTACAAAATTAAACTGGGTGAAACTACAACTTTTCCACTTGACAAGTTCTGGAGCATTCTAGAGTATTTTGACAAAATGCGAAATGTTTAAATTTTTTTTTTCAATTTTGGTATAATTACTGCTCTAAGTAGGTTGCTCTGTCAGCTAAAGGCCTGTATTAGTCTCTATTCTCCAGTTAATGATTAATCGATTACTAAATTAGTTGACGATTATTTCAATAATCAATTAATCACAATTCATTTTTTAAGTCCTATGTTCAAAAAACACATAAAAGCACTTAAGAGAGATACAATAAAAACAATGAGCTGTATGTCATGTTTGTGTTCATCCTGGCATTTTTATTGTATTGCAAAATGTTTACTTATTTCCAGCAGAGTAACCACCCTAGTTGTGAGGTGTTTAGTGTGTTTATCACAAATACAGCCTGAGCAAAGAAACTCTTTGTGCCAGTTTGTTTTTACTATTAGCACTATATACCCTGGACCTGAAGGTTACCATCTAAATAGCTTTTAACCAGAATGTGTGGGGTATATAGAAATATTCAAATATATTTCTAATTTCATCTGAACATTGTACTTATTCTTCCAGACCACGCTGAAGTTGAGATACACCCATGTACTTATAAATATACTGTTTTTGTTTTAAATTATTATTTTAGTACTTACAACTATAAATAAATACCTCCAACAGACTTTACTATTCACTTTTTTATATTTTCTCATCAGCCCAGGCCAGGTTTATGCTTTCTATGCTCCCCTGTTCTTCTCCTTTCGTTGAATCAATTATTAGTTATATGAATGTCATCAAACCTAACTGTAAATGCATTATAACAAGTAAGTAGAAGGCTATTTAAATTTGCAGAGTTTTGTCCTTATGTTATGATGAGGGGTTTATTTTTAAAGACTTGGGCTCTGTCCGTTAGTTAAGTTTAAAAAAATCAAAATTTAAAATCAAAACTCAGCTCCAGAAAAATGTGAGACAATGCCTCATGGTGACTGCAATGGAGGCATGTTTGAGTAAGCTGTATTTATAACAAAACACTGGGATGCCTGTTTGAGTGATGTAGACATATACCTGCATGTACTATTTGAACAAATTGGAACCACTTGGATAAATTCTATACAGTTTTGAGACAAACATTGTAGAGCTAAAAAAACAAAAACTAAATAATTGTGAACAAGCACCTCAACATTACAATAGCCCCTCAAAGACCAAATCTATACAGTTTAAATGAAAAGGGGTCATATATTTGTATTTTTTTTTACAAAGTAAGGCTAATCAAATGAGGACACAATAAATTATAGAATTAATAGACGATTTCACCACATCCATGGATAAAAAGAAACATACAACATTCTTTTTTTTTTTGATGGGGGTTTCTGAAGTGGATGAAGAGGTGTTTGAGTTACTGCAACATTGAATTCCCCTTGGGGATTAATGAAGTATTTCTGAATTGAATTTAACCTAATTTAAATAGTATCCAACTATTTTTGAAAATGTGGCAACTTTGACATTGCTGCGGTGTCCCCTAGGAGTCATTATTAGGACAAGTATAGTTAATTTTCTACATAAATCATATATGTAAGTTTTTAAAAAGCAATGCCGTTTGCTTTGTTTTTGGGGTGATCCAAATATTTTCTGTAAAGGTGAGAGTTTATAGCAAATAAATTATGTTTTGATTTTTTTCTTTACCATATTTGCATGTCTATAAAGCCGTTGCATGTCGTATATTAGTGTGGTTACTCTTTAACCACTATTTTTAAATGACTATTTTTGATCACTTGCATAGGTCTAGAAGCACAAGATCTATATCCAGCCATTCAGCAAAGATACTGCTACATGGCTGTACAGCAGCCCTTGAATGATATATTACCTACTGGAAGTTAAGTACAAAAAAAAAAGGGAAGTCAAGAAAAAAACGTAAAAAGCTAATTGAAAAGTTAAAAAGTTAATAAGCCTAGTTAAAATGTATATTTATGTTTATAAACTAAAAAAAATAACTGCCAGTATCAGCATTAATGCCTCTAAGGTTATGTTGTACCAAAAAAAATGTGTTTCTTTTAGTCTCAGAGTGTTTTTCATGAATTTCTTATAGAAGCACTTTTGTTATTTTTCGTAATATATTCGGCAGGTTGGAGTTTCTTCTTATTACATTGACATTCATTCTTGCCATCAAAATATCTATATTTTATTTATGTTACAAAGGTAATAAGGTCTTATCCTGGATTCCAATAACACTATTGGCTTGAAATTTGGATTATTTCACTGATTGCACTATAAAGGTTCAAAAAACAAGATTAATGTTAACAACATCAAAAAATGAGAAGCAACATCATTATCCAATTTTCAACAGGAAAAAAAAAACGTTTTCATGAAAGTTTTAGATATATATTCACACCTAGGTACCAAATCCTGTGTAACATTAACTAAAACAAAACAAAGTGAAGCTTTTATATTTGATGAGATTTTATATTTATTAGATTATGAGATTGTTTCAGGCACTGTATATAATATATACATTTTTAATACATGTCTGATGGGTTATATAAATAGTCTCAAAGGCTCTTGAACGTTTCCTCAGATGATTCATATTCCACCATCACATGACCAAGGAACCGGCATCAAATGATAATTTCCCCGGAACTAACCCATGCGACTGGAGGCGCACCGGCTCCGTAGAGCAAGAACATCGCACTATGGCCTCACACTGAGCCCTGCATAGCGAGAGTTCTATCTAACCGGCAATCCGTCACCATCGACGCCTTGAACATGGACCTCCAGTCCAGAGGCTCATTGGGGAGTCAACGAAATTACCAATAGCACTCCCGAAGAACGATATTATTATATTTTTCTACCACCTTCACTTTTGAACATCCTGGGATTTAAACCGAGGTGACATCAGTAGCACTCATCCCATCTGCCGGTTAGCCAACTAGTTTGCTAAAGTCAGCCAACAAGGGCTTCACTCGTCTGTTGGAACAAGGACAAACAGACAAAACTCATTAACAGAAGACTGAACACCCACCGCTCCTAATATACAACGCTGTCACTGTTGGTATCTGGTAAGAATTAAGTCGGTTAGCCATGTTGATGCTAGCTTTATGTGCGCTTAAGCTAGGCATGAATTTTGTCAAAGGCATGCAGGTTGAACAGGCCCCGCCGGCTGTCACTTCGCACGCTTGGATAGTAAGCAGTCGAGTGCAGGTTTTTTGAACAAAAGTTCGTTTAATCCGTTTAATATATAACTGTTTTACATTTATAAGTTGGATGCTTATACTCGAAAGCCGTTGGAGGCGTTTATCCAAAGTTATTCTGACGTTAGCTGAAATGACAGTTGGTGGCTAATCTTCACCGGTCTCTTATTACCATCGGCTGCTTCTTACCTCATTTTGACTTAAAACAAATTTGAACAGTGCATAGACAGCGTGTTTATTGTAAAGCTGTTTGAAGAATATGTCTCTGTAAATGCTTCGGTGAAACGGTAGGTTGGATGGGTTTGTTCTGTCGTGAAGCCTGTTAGGCCTGTTTTTAATTTACTCCCATCACCGTCGGAGCTAAACTGCTAGCTAAGGTTAACCAACAATAGCTCGACTGTTACTAGAACGTGTCAATCATTTTTCGCCAAGAAACACAGCGTTTACTTTTCTAGCTTTTTCTGGGAGAACACTTGGGTTGTTACTTGTAGATAGAAAATTGAACACCGTGTACTCCGAGGTTAAATGCGGACAGCCACGTAGCGTAACTGTCGAAAATGTCTGGTAGAGGGGGGGACACGTAATGTTAGCACGCAGCCTGGTGGCTACCATTTAGTAGCGGCAGCCACGCTAGAGGTTCGGTAAAAACAACGTTAGCCCGAATATTTGCTAATAAATAATATTTTATTTGAGCGCTTGTCATCTTTAATCACGGTTTGCCGACCGGTTATCCATCACTGTAAGCTTCGCAACCATATGGTAGCTTAAAGCCCTAAAGCACGGCTCTAGTAGCTAGCAGCTAATGGTGGTTCGTGTGTCAGATTGTCAATTCTGTTTGGATAATCAAATTTTCACCATAATTCCTACGCGAAGCGGTTCAACTATTTAAAAAAAAATATATCAAACTTTCCGTTATGTTTGACTACAAACTAAATGCCGTATCTCCTTAGTAACAATGTTCTGGTATAATTTATCTGCTCACATGGACCTAGCACAACACTGTTTTCACAGTGAATGCAC